CCCGATGCAGGGCTCGATCCCAGGACCCTGGGACCATGACCTGAGCCGAAGGCAGATGCTTAACGACTGAGCCACCCAGGCGCCCCTAGAATCTCACATCTTAAAAAATAATTTTAAAATACATTCACACAAACTCATAATACATCAGGTCTAACACTTTATCTTTTCTCTTTATAGCTGGTTTCTCAAAAAGAAAGAAATTAAAAAAAACAAAATGACAAATTATTTATTTTCCTATTTAACTATGGTCCTTTCAAACACCTGCTATTAAAAATCACCAATAATCTATTTTTCTCCTTATTGCTAAAACAATAAATTGTTTTTAACCTTCCTTTTACTTAAAATTTCTGCAGTATTTATTGCTTATTATTTTTAAAATTCACTGTTTGTTACCATTGACTTTTCCGTCTCACATGAAGTTATTGTTTCTTGGCTTCCTTAATGTCTCTCTCTCCTGGTCCACTTCTACCACTGTCTGCCATTCATTCTTAGTAGCTTTTATTGAAATCTCTCAGTATCCCTCCCCTCAGTTGGTATATTGCCTAAGATTCTCTCCTTGATACTCTATTCCTTTGGGCTTTTTGGCTTTTCATTTTACGCGTTCATCCTCTTGCTCATTCTCAGAAAGTTTAATTCTTACCAAAATGTCAACAATTCTCACATACAAACGTAGCTCAGAATCCTTACCTGCACCCCACATGCAGCATATGCAAGTGTCTTTGGGCAAATACAACTGCACGTTCCTTCTCCTCCAGGCATCTCAAACTCAAATTGTATTCATCATCATTCTTAATTCCTCCTGTAGCTTCTATCTCAGTTATCAGCAGCGCTATCTACATAACATCCTATGGGACCTAGTCAACCTATGTTTTTCTTTCCTTGTCTTCCCACTTCTAACCAGTCGCCAATTTTTTAAACTCTACCTCCTCAGCATCTGATTCCTCCTCCTCATTCCCATACTACTTCAGTTCAGATTCCTCTAATCTCATGTTTAGACTAGTGTGAAATACCTAGCTATTAGTTCATCCAATTTCCTACTCCTTCAATTCATCCTCCTCATTGCAGCCTAGATGGTCTTCTAAAAACACAAAATTCATTATGTCACTTCCTGTTTAAATCCTTCCGTGAGCTCAATTTATGGACTTAGAATCAAAATACCTGAGTGTAATATAATAGGCCCTTTATAATTTTCTATACTTACTTCTTGTCAGCTTCTTCCTCCTCCAACTCTACACATCAGCCAGAACACATTGCTTATTGTTCTCCCAAAACACAAAGTTACTTAAGAATTCCATGGCTTTTCTCTCATGTATCTGTCTGACTATGTCAGCCCAACCCCTTAAACCCTCCCATTTTTGCTTTCATATAATGTGGAACATATTAAAGTCAATTCAACTCAATGGCCATTTCCTCCCTCAAACCTTTCCTGATCTCCTTTACCCCTACCAGATAGAAGTGACCAAGCTCTCCATTGTATCATGTATATACTTCTATCGTGGCACCTTATCATACTTATTTCATAGCTAAGAGTTATATTAGACTTTTAAGTTTCCTTATAAACAGGGATCGTATCATATTTGGCATTATACCCTTAGTACTTTGCAATAAACCTGGCATAGTATGAACCTGAGCATAACATGAACATGAAACTTTCTTTGGAAAGGAGGTATGAGGATGTTGTCTTTCACTTTTCCTTTTTATCTTCTGAATTGTTTAGCATTTTTAAAGATGAACATAACTTTTATATTGAAAAATGAAAATCTGGAAAATAAATGAGTATACATCATTTATTTTTATTAATCCTAAAGAAAATATTTAACTTTCCAGTCATAATGGTATCACAACATTATGTTGAATTTAAATTTTCTTCATTGCCAAAATATTCTTGGAACGATTTTTGCTTTGTTATTTTTAATAGCAAAATTGTATCAAATCATTTTTCTAAGAAATAACTAAACTTCTGTAGTGACATTCCTCTACATATTTGCATTATCACAAGATGAAAACAAGGTATCATACGTGTAGGGTAAGATTACTATTTCCAGAGGTTTGCCTTCAAGACACTTCTTTGTAACCTCTACTCCTACTGTTTCAGTTTCCACTTCCTACGGAAAGATTGCCAGATGTTTCGGTAAGTGTTTTATCCTGCCCCACCTACCTCACCACCCTTGAGCTCAGCAGAACTTATTTGTACACTCTGTTCCTGATTATGCTGATCACCAATCCTTGTGAGAATTCCGGGCTCTCGTCAAAAGTGAAAAATGAAGTTATACACAAGCCACTTAAAACCACAACCCTGAGACCGGATTCTTCACAGGATTTGTTGGAGGAAAACATAACGTATCTTATTACACGTATCCTGTGGCTACAGAAACTGACATCCCAAAGTTGTCATTTGCTTCACATCAAGGAGGCTGGAAGTCCCCAGTATCTTCTTATAGCTTAGTAGATAGTTTACTAAACAGAAAAAAATAAAATAAAGTCACACCAGTGAGTCTCAGGTGGTGATCAGTCAGTGAATAGAAAGGGAATGAAAAAGTTTAACAGGGGAAAAGGAAGAACACCTAAAAGCTATGTGATAAAGGAGAAGTGGGAGAGAACAGTGAAAAGGTATGTGCCCAGATTTCTAGAGGTGAAGAAAACCTGAGTGTGGTCAAAAGAGAAAGGACATACTAAGATACAGTCACTGAATGAGAATCTCTCTGATGCCGACTGACACAAAAATGTTAAACAGAGCACTTAGGAATTCTTGAGGAATGGAATACTGAAAGAAAATGCACATTTCTGGTGTGTCTGCAATATGCCAAGGACTTTACATAACCTAGCAACCTTATACTCCAACCACCTTATAAAAGAGCTGTTTGAATTGAATTATAAAATATTTAATTTGGGGGCACCTGGGTGGCTCAGTCGTTAAGCGTCTGCCTTCGGCTCAGGTTATGATCCCAGGCTCCTGGGATCAAGCCCCACATCGGGCTCTCTGCTCGGGGGGAAGCCTGCTTCTCCCTCTCCCACTCCCCCTGCTTGTGTTCCTGCTCTCGCTGTCTCTCTCTCTGTCAAATAAATAAATAAAATCTTTAAAAAACATATTTAATTTGTTACATTTAGCTTCCAACTTATACTTTCATTTCCAATAATTCGCCTTCTGACATGGTAATAAAAATATTTTTTTTCACTCCCTACAAGAGAGAATTCACATACATAGAGAAGGATCTTATTTCCTGGGCAACTCAGCCAAGGTAGGCAGAAATGTGACTTGAGTTCTAGTGAGTGGAGAGATCTCACAGTAGAACACAAACAGGATGATGTTCTAATACCAGGTGTGCCGCCTTACAAACTGTGATACTGGGGACACCTGAGTGGCTCAATCGGTTAAGCATCTACCTTCGGCTCAGGTCATGATCCCAGGGTCCTGGGACCGAGCCCCGCGTCGGGCTCCCTGCTCGGCGGGAGCCTGCTTCTCCCTCTCCTCCCCGCTTGTGATCTCTCTCGCTATCCCTGCACTCTGTCAAAAAAAAAAAGAATTTAAAATTAAAAAATTAAAAAGATATATATATATCAACAAATTGGACTTCAATTCAAAATTCTAAAATTGAGGGGAGCTTCGGTGGCTCAGTCAGTTAAGTGTCTGCCTTCAGTTTAGGTCATGATCCTGGGATCAAGTTTCACATAGGGCTCCCTGCTCAGAGGGAGGTCTGCTTCTCCCTCTCCCACTCCTCCTGCTTGTGTTCTCTCTTTTGCTGTGTCTCTCTCTGTCAGATAAATAAATAAAATTTAGGGGGCGCCTGGGTGGCTCAGTTGGTTAAGCGACTGCCTTCGGCTCAGGTCATGATCCCAGGGTCCTGGGATCGAGTCCCGCATCGGGCTCCCTGCTCAGTGGGGAGCCTGCTTCTCCCTCTCCCACTCCCCCTGCTTGTGTTCCCTCTCTCGCTGTGTCTCTCTCTGTCAAATAAATAAATAAAATTTGGGGCGCCTGGGTGGCTCAGTCGTTAAGCGTCTGCCTTCGGCTCAGGTCATGATCCCAGGGTCCTGGGATCGAGCCCCACATCGGGCTCCCTGCTCTGCGGGAAGCCTGCTTCTCCCTCTCCCACTCTCCCTGCTTGTGCTCTCTCTCTCTGGCAAATAAATAAATAAAATCTTAAAAAAAAACAAGCCTGTGATATTGGACAAGTTACCTAAGTATTCTGGGGCCTCAGTGTCTTCATTTACAAAATGTTACTGATAGTAAACATGTATATAGTGAGCATTATGTGCCTGGAATTATTTTAAGCACTTGTATACATAAAGTGCCTCTCTTACAAGATGGTTGGAGTATAAGGTTAATAAGTTATGATATATATACATATGCTGAGTTGCCCAGGAAATAAGATCCTTCTCTATGTATGTGAATTCTCTCTTCTATGGACTGGAAAATAATAAAAGGGAATGGGATGGGATATAATTGCATCTGAGGCCACTATTTAGATCATCAAATCACAGAATTTTAGAGCTAAAAGACAACTTCAAGATGCAGAATTATGACAACAATATACCAGGGTTGGTGTGTCTGCTTGGAAACCTCCCCCTAAAGCATGAGTTCAAAACTAGCAAAAAGATAGCCTTTATAAATTCAAGTTTCCAGATCAAATCACAGACGGTACATAAAACAGCATTGGATCTGGCCTTCACAGGAAGCCAGGAAGAAGAAGGAACACTGCTTTAATTCTACATACAACCTCACTTTTGTCTACTATACCAACTTGGTAAAAACAACACACCCTCAACTACAAACCACTGTGCCAACAACAAAATCTTAGGAAAACAAACATCTGTGTATACACTGAGTTTAATTTTTCAGATGTTCATATACGTGGCACACGAGTTGTGGAAAATGCACAGTTACACATAAGCGTAAGTCATGAAAACACTCTCTCTTTCCCTCACTTTGCACATTCCTCAGATAGTTCATCTCATGTATTGCTCAAGAGTCTGACCAATTTGGACTGCCGGAGATAGAATACCTGTGTGCCCAGCCTCTGGCCGCTGGCTTGTAGAAGAGCTTCGAGACTGTACACTCCTGATGGTATCCCCATCAAAGTCCAGCATTTCCCTTGTGCTGCTGTACTTGGCCTGCATCTGGACTCCTGCAGGGGTGAGGCTGAGCTGCAGTTTGATGGCCCCCAAGCTGTGTCGCTACTGTGAGACAGGGTAGGAAGTACGGCGCTGAAAGTCATTCCTAATATTCTTCTCTCCCGGCGAGAAGCAGGGGAAGCCTCTGACTCCAGTTCCTGCTTAGAGAGGCCCAGCCCCTCTCCTGGGAACTTCTACTCTGAAGGTCAACTTCGTCAGGCAGGGGGGAAATAGCACGTGTTTTCTATGTGGGCAGTCTCTTTCTGAACAATTATTGAAGGGTTGCCCTTCTCGGATCTCTTTTGTTCATTTATTTGTAATTCCTGTGTAAGTACAGTATAAAAAAGGCAAGACCCTATAATCACACAGAGATTCCTTCAGGCTCTGTGGAGCAATAATCAGGCAGAGGAATACATATCACCTAGTCTCTTCTATACCAGACACTCACTGAGTCGCTTAGATGAGGTTTAACTTCTGAAAAGAGATCATAGGACCAGCCTCTTCTTTTCTCCAAGGGCATAGTATAAAGCATCATATACATGGAATGTCAGCACAGAGTCTTTTTGAGAATATCTATTGATTCTACTTTTGCATTTTACAAAAAAGAAGATCGAAGCCCAGTTAGATGAAGTGGTTGTTTTAAAGTCACATAGCTGCTTAGTGACAGTATTAGCTTCAAAGTGTTCTCCTGTTGGATTTCTCCAGGAACAAAGGAGCTGTCAGGTGCCATTTCCCTCCCCTGCCTTTCAGCATAAACAACAACCGCCTGCAGAAACCAGTGTGGTGCCTAATTTGCTAACACACACACCCCTAACCCCTAACATCCCACCCCACCCACACTGCTTCAGAAGATCCGCCCTTTCTAGTTATGCTCACCTCAGTCTCAGCACTGCAGGTGCCCTCCCCTAGAAGACCAGCACAAGCTTGGCCAACACCCAGTCTCCTGCCCCCACACACCTCGCAGGACCTTGGGCCAGCTTTGGTAGTGACAGTGGTAGCACTGAGTACCACAGGAGACCAATTGTTAACACTGTGTGCCCTGCCCATGCATTCTTTACAGATCTGCCCTAGTCAAGGCAGTGGTGGTGGCCAGTCTCACTTTGCAAGCAGACCAGTATGCACCCTGTTAAAACTGTGGACCATGCTCTGGCCAGTGCGAGAGGCAGTGGCATGTCTGTTCCAATACACTCTTGGGCAGAACAATTCAAACTGGAGCCACAAGGCTGGCAGTGTGCAAGCAGCCCCAACAGGGGCCAGCATCACTCCAAAGTGACACCTGCCCTGGAGTAAGAGGAGATAAGCACATACACCAATCAGAGCGCTGCCCCAGCTGTGGGCTGGGGGCAGATGGTGGGTTTGATTGTAGGCCCCGTTGACCAATGAAAACTACTCAAGGAAAGTGCCTCCCAGTTTGCTGCTACTGCATCTCTAACAAATGTTTGGTCTGACTCAACTCAAGCCCAGGGTGGTCCCAGACGGTCCACTAACACCACAGGGACCAAACACTGCCCACAACAGGGAAAGAGAGCTAGATGACTGGACTGAAGGAAAAGCATCAAGACTCAAAAGCAAGGCTCACACAACACACATAGGAGACACCTCTGAAGAACCAGGCCATACTTTCAAGAGCAGGAGATGTAGCTGACTTCCCTAACACACTGAAACAGACACAGAGAGTTAGACAAAAGGAGAAGACAGAGGACTATGTTCCAAATGAAAGAATAAGACAAAACCACAACAAGAAACCTAAGCAAAATAGATATAAGTAATATGCCTTAGAGAATTTAAAGTAATGATCATAACTTTACTCATAGGACTTGAGAAAAGAGTGGAGGACATCAGTGAGACCTTTAACAAAGAGTTAAAAAAGACAATCAGAGATGAAGAACACAATAAATGAAATTGAAAGTACACTAGATGGAATAAATAGCAGGCTAGAGGAGCAGAAAAACAAATTAGCAACCTGGAGGACTGAATAATGGAAAGTAATCGAGCTGAGCAGATGAGAGAGGAAAAAAATATGCAAAATGAGAATAGACTTAAGGAACTCAGCAACTCCACCAAGTGTAATAACATTCACATTATAGGGAGCCCAGAAGAAGAAGAAGAGAGAAAAGGGGACAGAAAATTTATTGAAGACATAATAGCTGAAAACTTCCTAAACCTGTGGAAGGAAACAGATATTCAGATCCAGGAGACAGACAGAACCTCCAACAAAATCAACCCAAGGAGGTCCAAGATACATAGTAATCAAAGTGGTAAAAAGTAGTGGAAAAGAGAGAATTTTAAGAGCAGAAAGAGAAAAGAAGACACTTACCTAAAAGGGAAACCCCATGAGACTATCAGTGGAATTTTCATCAAAAACTTTGCAGGCCAGAAGAGAGTGACATGATACATTCAAAGTGCTGAAAGGGAAAATAAAAATTCTGCAGCCAATAATCTTCTATCCAACAAGCCTATTTATTCAGAATAGAAGGAGAGGGATATCTGGATGGCTCAGTTGGTTAAGTGTCTGCCTTCAGTTCAGGTCATGATCCCAGGGCTCTGGGATCAAGTCCTGCATAGAGCTCCTTGCTCAGCAGGAAACCTGCTTCTCCTCTGCCTGCCACCCCCCTTGCTTGTGATTGCTCTCTCTCTCTGACAAATAAATAAATAAAATCCTTACAGAAAAAAAAAAGGAATAGAAGGAGAGATAGAGTTTCCCAGACAAGCAAAAGCTAAAGGAGTTCATGACTACTAAACCAGCCCTACAGGAAATGTTGACACGGACTCTTTGAGTGGAAAGGAAAGACCATAAGTAAGAGCAAGAAAAGTAGGAAGCACAGAGGCAGTAAAAATAAGTATGTCTGTAAAATGCAGTCAAGGACTCATGAAATAAAAAGACATAAGGTATGATATTATATACCTAAAATATGAAAAGGAGATGAGTAAAGAATGGGTTCAAACTTAAATGACCATCAACTTAATATAGACTGCTCTATACAGAAGATGTTATATACAAACCTAATGGTAACCACAAATCAAAAACCTGTAACAGATAAGCAAAAATAAAGAGAAAGGAATCTGAGTATATCACTAAAGAAAATGAGCAAACTGTGTGAGAAGAGAGCAAGAGAATTAAAAATTAGAGAAGAACTACAAAACAACCACAAAACAAGTAACAAAATGGCAATAAATACATATTTATCAATAATTACTTTGAATGTAAATGGACTAAATGCCCCAATCAAGAGACATAAGGTGATGGAATGAATAAAAAAACAAGACCTATCTATATGTTGCCTATAAGAGATTCATTTCAGATGTAAAGACAGCATGTAGATTAAAAGTGCAGGGATGAAGAAACATTGATCATGGAAATGGATGTCTAAAGAAAGCTAGCAATACTTATATCAGACAAAATGCTTTAAAACAGAGACTGTAACAAGAGACAAAGAAGGACATTATATAATCATTAAAGGGACAATCCAGCAAGAAGATAAAACAATTGTGAATATTTATACATCCAACATGGGAGCACCTAAATACATAAAACAGTTAATAAGAAACATAAAGGAACTAGTTGATAGAAATACAATAATAGTAGGGGACTTTAAGACCCCACTTACATCAATGGACAGATGATCTAAACAGAAAATCAACAAGAAAACATTGGCTTTGAATGACACTCTGGACCAGATGGATTTAACATACATGTTCAAAATATTTCATCTTAAAACAGCAGAATACACATTCTTTACAAGTGCATATAGAACATTCTCCAGAATAGATCACATATTAGACCACAAAACAGTCTCAGGAAATTCAAAGAGATCAAAGTCATACCGTGCATCTTTTCTGATCAAAATGCAATGAAGCTAGAAATCAACCACAAGAAAAAAAAATACGGAAAGTCCACAAATACATGGAGGTTAAATAACATGCTACTAAATAATGAATGGGTCAACCTAGCAAAAAGAAATAAAAAATTACATGGAGAGAAACAAAATGAAAACACAGCAGTCCAAAATCTTTGGGATGCAGCAAAAGTGGTTTGAAGAGGGAAGTTTATAGCAATACAGGCCTACCACAAGAAACAAGAATAACCTCAAATAAACAACCTAACATAAACTTATACCTAAAGGAGCTAGAGAAAGAAGAACAAACAAAACCCCAAACCAGTAGGAAGAAGGAAATAGTAAATATTAGAGCAGAAATAAATGATATAGAAATTAAACAAAACAAAACAAAAACACTACAAAAAACCCAATAGAATGAATCAAATGAAACCAGGAGCTCGTTCTTTGAAAAATCAACAAAATTGATAAACCTCTAGCCAGACTCACAAAAAAAAAAAAAAAGGAAAGAGAGGTCTAAAATAAACAAAATCAGAAATGAAAGAGGAGAAATAACAACCAACACCACAGAAATACAAAGGATTATAAGAGAACATTATGATAAATTATATGCCAACAAATTTGACAACTTAGAAGAAATGGATAAATTCCTAGAAACATACAACCTTCCAAAAATGAAACAGTAAGAAATAGAAAATTTGAACTGACCAATTACTAGCAATAAAATTAAATCAGTAATTAAAAAAAAATTAAAAAAAAAAACACCCAACAAACAAAAGTTCAGGACCACATGGCTTCACAGGTGAATTTTACTGAACATTTAAAGAATAGCTAATACCTATTCTTCTCAAACTTTTCCTAAAAATAGAAGAGGAAGGAAAACTCCCAAATTCATTCTATGAGCCCAACATTACCCTGATACCAAAACCAGATAAAGACACCACTAAAAAAGAGAACTACAGGTCAGTATCTCTGATGAACATAGATACAAAAATCCACAACAAAATATTAGCAAACCAAATCCAGCAATACATTAGAAAAAAAAAAAAAAAGTCATTCACCATGGGGGCGCCTGGGTGGCTCAGTCGTTAAGCATCTGCCTTCAGCTCAGGTTATGATCCCAGGGTCCTGGGATCGAGCCCCATATCGGGCTCCCTGCTCCGCGGGAAACCTGCTTCTCCCTCTTCCACTCCCCCTGCTTGTGTTCCCTCTCTCACTGTGTCTCTCTCTGTCAAATAAATAAATAAATAAAATCTTTAAAAAAAAAGTCATTCACATGATGAAATGGGATTTATTCCTGGGATGCAAGGGTGGTTCAATATTTGCAAATTAATCAGCATGATACATCACATTA